TTAATAACCATTCCATAACATTAAAAAAAAAGATTCATAAGTATAATACTTACGAATCTTAAAGGTTCTCCTTTTTTTATTCTTCAGAAGTCCACCAGAACCTATAAAAAAAGAAAAGAACGTTTATTAGTAACCGTTCATTAATAAAATTAAAAAAAAAAATTATAAAGTAAAGATTTGTACTTACGAATCTTTATCTTTGAATATTCATTTTTCAGAAGTCCACCCGAATCTAAAAATAAAGATAAGAACGGTTATTAGTAACTGTTCATTAATAACATTAAAAAAAAGAAAAAAAAGTAAAGATTCATATTTACGAATCTTTATCTTTGGGTTTTCATTCGTCAGAAGCCCACCGCACCTAAAAAATAAAGAAAAGAACGGTTATTAGTAACCATTCATTAATAACATGAAAAAAAAGAAAAAAAAGTAAAGATTCGTATTTACGAATTTTTATCTTTGGATTTTTGTTCATCAGAAGCCCACCCAAATCTAAAAAATAAAGAAAGGAACAGTTAATAAGTAACTGTTCTAAAATGATAAAAAAAAACAAAAAAAAAAATTATAAAGATTCATACTTATGAATCTTTACCTTTGGATTTTTATTTTTCGGAAGCCCACCCTAATCTAAAAAATAAAGAAAAGAATGGTTATTAGTAACTGTTCGTAATAAAGAAAAAACAAAAAAAAAAATTATAAAGATTCGTATTTACGAATCTTTATCTTTGGGTTTTCGTTCTTCAGAAGTCCACCTGAACCTAAAAAATAAAGAAAAGAACGGTTATTAATAACCGTTCATAATAAAGAAAAATAAAAAAAAAATTATAAAGATTCATACTTACGAATCTTTATCTTTGGATTTTCATTCGTCGAAAGCCCACTGTACCTAAAAAATAAAGAAAAGAATGGTTATTAGTAACCGTTTATTAATAAAATTAAAAAAAAGAAAAAAAAGTATAGATTCATACTTACGAATCTTTATCTTTAGGTTTTCGTTCTTCAGAAGCCCACCCGAACCTAAAAAATAAAAAAAGAAACAGTTATTAGTAACTGTTCATAATAAAGAAAAAACAAAAAAAAATTATAAAGATTCGTATTTACGAATCTTTATCTTTGGGTTTTCGTTCGTCGGAAGCCTACCGCACCTAAAAAATAAAGAAAGGAACGGTTATTAGT